AGCCTGAATCGAACTGTGGACCTTAGCTTATACTGTGGGGGTTTGGCAGCTTAACCACTAAGCTATAGAGCCCAAACTCTCTTCATAAAACTTTTAATATTAGATATAACAAATATATTCGTTTTATTGTTATTATTTTTATTTTATATTTTATTAAAATTATTAATAAATTTATAATCTAGTTAGTCATATATTGACCAACTAGAATTTTATTTGCGTAATAACAAAATGTCTTTAATCGTCGTTCAAAATAAGAGAAATGATCTCATCCCTGTTGAAAATATCAAAGAAAATGAACAAACAAATAAAAAACAAAAAAATAATAATGAAGCAATCGAAGCTTATATTGAGATGAAACCTTTTAAACTTTCAAGTAAAGTTGATAGATATACGTATGAAACAGCATTTTCAGAAGCTGAAGAGAGATTAAATTTTATGAGAAATTTATTAATATATTATACAGCGCATATTAATAAACTTGATAATATTGAAAATTTAATGCCGAAAAGAAGAAAACATCATCTTTATTTTAAAGAAAAAGCTTTTAAAGAAAAGACTTTAAAGGGTTTTCAAGTTGGAGCTACAATAGCTGTACAAAATTTAAAGAAATTTATCAAAGAGCTAAAAAATGAATTAGATTTGTATTACGCGTCGGATAATGAATAATTTTTTTTTAATATTTGTATTTATTTTTTTTATAAATTATATATTTTATTTATTCAGTTTAACATTGAATAAAAATTTATTTACGTGAGCAAAATGCCTAAATTAAAAAATAATTTATGTCAATTAAGCAAAAAAGAAAGTTTTAATTTTCACACAGTTTTATTTACAACAAATAATGAAACAATACTTACTCGAAAAAGCATTAGAGGTTTAACAAAACCTAAACCGAATTATTATTTAACACAACGATATTTTAAAAAGAAATCTTTGATTAAACTGAATAAAACTGAAAATGAAAAATATACATATGATATTATTATAAATCCACCGACTCTTTTTTAGAATCAAACTTTACTGAATCATCATATACAACAGATGATGGTTTCGTTATAAAAGATGCTCAAAAAAATAGTTTTAGTTCGATATACATTACTAAACAGAATGGTACGATAGTAGAAAATAATATTTTTTTCAGCAATGAAGAATTACAAATCGATGATAGTGATAATGATTCCGATTTGATCACAGAAGAAGAAGCATTATTTAATATAGAACTATATAAAAATATCAATAATTAGTTTTTTATATAAATATTGTATTTTGTTATTTTTTAATCAGTTATTTTTTTAACCGATTAAAAATTTATTTGCATAATATTAAACATGAAAGAATATAACTCCACAAAAACTAATTATCAAATGTTGAATAGTTTAATCTCATCTTACTTATCATTAAAAAATTCTGTTAAATCTATCGATGAATATGGTTTTACTATCGATGTTAAAACAATTAATACTCAAATTCAAACTCAAATTGATATAAATTTGAATTTAATGAAACAATATAGAAAAGTTATAGATATATATAAAGAAGATACTGTATTAGAGAATTTATATTATGTTTTTTAGTCGAAAAAGATACTAAAAAGGTTCGATTATCTAGACGAATTGATCCAACAAAAGATTATTGTAGTCTTATTCAACCCATTTGTGGATTAAAAGAAACTCCTGATAAAAGTTTTAAAGATTGTGTAAGATATGAAGTGTTAGAAGAAACGAATATTGTATTAAATGAACTTTTTTTATTTGTCTTCAAGAAGGATATAAAGAATTTCCAGATGGAAAAAATTGTCTTTATAGAACAGCAATATATTTTTCTATTATTGATGGTGTAGTTCCTCAACAAATAGAACCTAAAAAAAATGAAGAATGGATCGTATATAATTTAAAAGAATTATCAAATCTCAAAGTTACACCATCGGTAGAAACAAATCTTAAACAAATCACTGAAGCTATTCAAAATAAATTTAAGAGAATTTCTAGAAAATGTAAAAGAGTTACAGTTAATAAAACTGTTAGCAATTCTAATATTAGTAGCCCTAATTATAAATCAACTAGCGATATAGAAAAAGAAATTTAAATATTATTATTTTTTATTTGATTTTATTTTATTATTTAATAAATATTATCTATTCAGTTATTTAACTGAATAGAATTTTAACAATGTATTATTATTAATGAGCAAATGTTTTTATTTTTCATTATCAAATTACTTATTCTCATAATCTATTAACATATTTTCAAAATGTCTAAAGAAACTAAACAAAAAAAGGATCAAGAATTAATAATAATTGAAGAATTTAAAAAGAAGGTGAGATTTCTCATTTTAATATTAGGATTCAAAGTGATGCTGCCTCTTAGAAGAAACTAGATATATTTTGAAAATATAATTAACCAAATTATATTAATGAGGATATATCTGAATTCTCTGAAAAATATCTTGATATCCTTAACAGATGATGCTGAGTTGATATAATTAACAGTGATATCGAATATTGGGTGAATAAGAATCTATGTTAACATTTTTTTAGTCTAATTATTCTATAGGTTATGAATTTGAAAAAGAATTAGCTAATACATTAAATGATAATGGATTCATTGCAAATATAATTGCTTGTAAACAAGGCGATTTCGGTATCGATATTATTGCTACTTATAATCAACAAACTATTTTAATTCAAGCGAAGAATATTGAAAAACCTCTTGGTTCTCCAGAATTACAAAAAATTCAATCATCATTTAATTGTTTTGAAACAGAAGTATTAGAAATTATTGTTTATAATAGTGAAAAATTAACAAACTCTTTAACCAAAAATGCTAAAATTTGGTGAAAAAATTGTTGTTCAGAAATTAGAATTATGAATGAAAAAGAAATTTTAGTTTTTTTTAATTCAAAATCAAAAAACAATATTAAAAAAACCATAATGGAATATTTAAATCTACAAGCAGATGAATTTGTAATTAGTAATAATATTATGATGAAAAATTTTAAAGCTGAAAAATGTATTCTTTATCAACCTTATTAATTCATATATTTAGTTATTAATTTATCTATTTAGTCTTCATTGACCGAATAGAATTTTTTATTTATAATATGGATTTTATATTTGTTATTTTTGCAACTTTTTTATATATTTCACTTCTTATTTTTGAAAAACAACAGAATCAACAACATGTTAATATGTCTACTAATAAAAGACTTTTTTCTAAGCTTAATGATATCGCTAATGAATTTCATACGACTCTTATATTTTTCAATGCGAATTATCAAAAACTTCTTTCTAAAAGAACAAAATTATTAAATGAATTAAAAGATGAAAAAAAACCAAAAGTTAAAATTATCATTAGAACGGTTGAATCAGGAAATCAACATTCACCAAACATTATGAAAAATATCTTATCAATCAAGAATATTCTGTTTATCAAATGAAAGAAGTTTCATTAACAATTCAAAATGCATTAGAAATATTTTATAAAACTAAGAATGCTCTATTTTTTCAAACAGAAATTATCGCTAAATATAAAGAAACTATTGATGATATCAATAATAAGACCGGTTATGATTATATTATTATTGATAGAGGATATAGAGAAATTGATGTTTTTACAGATATTAATATTCAAGATGAAAAAATTAAAAAATATTTGAAAAATAAATATGATTTAATCGATCTTGAACTTGAACATGATGTGATTTATATTAGACCAGAAAAAGAAACAACTATTGAAAGAAAGAACTTAAGAGGTCGTTCATAGGAAAAATGTGATGAAAAATATTTATCAGATTTGTATGATAAATACGAAGAACTCATTTTAAAAATTTATCCTAATCATACAACATTTAAAAATGATATGTATATTTGTAAAGATTGTTGTGAAATGAAAGAAGAATGTAATGATAAAAATTGTTATATTAGAGAGTATTATACATTTTTTAATAATCTTAATCATTTGTTATTGTAATATTATTTAGTTAATCAACCGAATAAATTTTTTTATACGTAAAAAAAAAAAATGAAAATACATATTGATCAATTACCCGATGATTTATTAATTATAATATTTCATTTTGTTACAAAATCTTTTTATATCACTTTAATTAATAAAGATTTTTATTAATTAAAATTTGTCTCAAAAAAATGGTATAGTTCATATTATTTCATATTCAACATTTATGGGATAAAATATTGTCTAGTTCAACAATGGGAAAAAAATATACATGATCCATCTAAAAAATACTCATTCGAAATTTATTATGAACAAAAACATTATTGTTTTAAAATAAAACCATATTTCAATTCAAATTTTAAAAATAATACAGTTTTAAGAAAAAATAAATTTGATTTTAAATTTTATACAGAAGATTTAAAAGAAAAAAAAACAATAAGTGAAATTAAATATGTTGAATTATTACCATCTAGTGAATACTCTTCTTATAGTAAGAGTGATTGTTTTAATTGTAAAAAATTTACATATTGTTGCAAATATTATGAATATTTTGTAGATAAATGTAGATTTAACAATTGTTCTAATGAAAATGAATTAGAACTTTATATTAGTTTGAAAAGACATACACATAGTTTATGTGAAAAATGTTGTATACATAATCAATTAAGTATTGGGATTACGAAACCTATATTATAAAATATATATTGTTAAATTAATTGAATAAATTTTTTATGATTAATTTATGTTATTATAATTAATATTCAGTATTTACCGAATATTTTTTTATTTATGTAAACAAGATGAATATCAATTTTAATAAACCAACTAATATTCTAACAATTGAATTACCCAAATATTTCAAAAAAACT